ATCTCAAGTTTCTGGTTGCAAGTTTGAGTTCGTTAAATGTAAAGCTTGTAACGTTTCATTTGCTAAGTAGCTCTTATGAGCTGCCAATGATGGTGATGATTGAACACTCAAGAGGTGAAGGCGGTAGAGACCGCTGCTCGTATGTGCAGAAACACACACAAACGGTTAACTAAACTATAAACTGAGAGCAGTTGGAGAAGGTAGAAACTTTTTATTTTAGATCACGTAAATTTCTCACATAGTTCATTCCTTTTCTCATAACTCATCATTAATAAACTGATAAACGATGGAAGTTGAAGAAATACACTTACAATAAAAATTCTATAAACTTTATGGGTAACTGTTCAAGGAGGAAATTAAAAAGCAGACAGACCAAACAAAAACCATCAAACAAACGAAACAAAAATCATCTCCCAAATAAAAACTCACCTATGACGTCTGCAAAGGGACTGATAAATACATTTTCTGAAGATAAATTTGCGAAGCTACTTTATATCTACCTGGGAGCTGAGTACTTGTTTTAGCCAAACCAATCAGTTCGGTATGATCACGAAACCGGAATCCCTCTGCAGGCAGCTAGAAAATAGTTTTGGTTATCTCTTCAAAAGCTGTTGAATCAGAAAATCGGATCAGCAAAGAGGAGTCGGTTGGCCTAAGGTTCTGGGCACAGCAGCTGGCATCAAAACCGGAGGGAGAGTACATAGAACCGGTGGCGATTTTTTGCCGGAAAGCTGGTACACGATTAGCACCAAGGCTGGCTTGCATGATTTTGGACTGCAACGGTCACATAAAACATAAAGAACAATGAGTTAACAGGTCGCCGGAATTTGTTAATTCAACCGTTTCTGGTTTTCTGAAAAGTATATTTCTTACATTAATGTTGACCATGAACATGTCAATCGACATAAGTTTATCGATCACAGATTCCTCGCCTCGCAGTAGCTGAGTAGGCAGACATCCACGGTGGAAGATCACCGGCCAAACTTCAACTCGATAAAAAAACTCTGGAGCAAGCAATTAGAAAGATATTAAGAATAGTGAGTGATGTTTGTGAGTGGTTCTCAGAGGATGTAAGCGAACCTATATATACCCGTGCTTCCACCGACTTGCAGACGATAAGATAGTGATTAGAGATCATGGTGGAGGAGTTAATGCAATTATCAATGCGTTTAAAACGGTTGCTGGTGTAGACTCGTCTCTACCAGGGAATACTGAACGGATGCAATCAATACCTCGGAATTGGATCGTCACACAAAAAGCTAACACATCAAACTCCATGGCGGCGATGAACAGATAAAAGTAAGAACCCTAATTGCATAGAGGAAAAGAGACGACGTTTCATGGTAGACGGGCTGCTGGGCAAAATAAACTTGGGCCATAAAACACATCTAGCCCGATAACATGATAATGGAAAAGAAGGCATCATTTTAGTTAGACACGTGGTAATTCCTGATGAATTGAATTAGTGATGTGGCATCTCAAGAGGGAGGCAAACTTTTGTTTATATATATAGATACTCATAAGACTCCAAACCCTCCACTTCGAGTAGAGTCTTCTGAGTTACTTCCAAATCACTCCATAAACTTCAAATCCTCTTTTCCCCTCAAAGTATTCAAACGCTCCTCATTCTCATTCATCTCCACCAAATTGGACTTCCCTTCTCTCGTCTTCTTTCTGTAATATGCTTGATGATGCCTATCAGGTTGATCCTTCAGGAAGATTATGTATGGGAATCTTGAGGTGAGTGAGATACTTGTTTGTGAGAAAGCTTTGTCCACTTAATATGTTCTTGAATGATCTTGTATTGTGTATCTCTTATCAAGACATAGCTTTTGCTAATAGATAAGTTTTAAGCTTTGTCTACTACGACTGGTAGGTTTAGCATATGTAGATGAAGCCTAAGTAAAACGATATTCATGTACTCTTTGTGACAGAAACAAGCGTGGATACTCACTTTGGAGTAAGGTGATTTGCAGCTTTTGTACCATTGTTCCATCATGCCGAAGGTGACAAGTGACTCTGCCATTAGGCTAATTTGAAGGAGTGGAGGCTAAGAAAGATGAGATAAAGGTCTCGCTTATGAGGTATTGATGGATCCAACAAGGAGGAGAATCTTTGACTCCACATATGACTTTGATGACGAGGTCCCTAGGGATTGCTCGCCACAAGACTTTTTCAAGGTGTTTGGGGAGATGAAAACACAAAGCTTAAAGATGTTGATAAGTTCTACAACTTCTGGTACGGTTTCAAGAGTTGGAGGGAGTTTTCTGATGAAGAGGAGCATGATCTTGAGGACGCAGATTTACGTGAGGAACAGAGATAGATGGAGAAGGAGAATGCCAAAAAAAACTGCAAAGGCTAGGAAGGAGGAACATGCTCGGATCCAGACTATAAAAGATCCAAGGATAGTAAAAGAAAAGAGGAAGAAAAGGCTGAGAAGCAACAAAAAGAAAGAAGCAAAGCTTATGGGCAAGAAGAAGCAGGAAGAAGAATGCTGAGGAAGAGAAAATGCGGAAAGAAGCAAGACAGCTAAGCAGCAAGGTAGATAGGCCTCCAAGATGTTATGTTTGTTTTGTCAAAAAAAAAGTGGTAAACCAAAGTGTGTGGCTTGTTGGTGATTAACTTGAACACAAAAATTCAATACGGTAAAGTCACCATGGTTCTAATCTCAGCCACCGGAGAATTAACATTTCAAACATCGTTAGGCACAGAAGATCGACATGTAGTAACAAAGTACAATAAAAATTCTAAAAATTAATTTGAATTTTTAAAATTTTATTAATTTATAAAGATATTAATTTATAAAAAAAATTCTTATTTAGATTTTTATTTTAATATTTATTTATTTTAAAATAAGAAAATATTTGATTTTAGTATATAAATATTTAATTATTTTTAATAAAAATTTGACATTTATTTTAGTTATATTAGATTATTTGATGTATATTATATATGTATTGCATAGAATATAATATTTCTAAATCTCATTAAAAATATGTTAAGTGTTAAGAAAATAAAGATAGTTCTATTGTGAATATAATAAAAACAATATAATGATGGGTACTTAGTTATATAAAATATGTATACATATAAATTAATAATTTATAATTTTAATAGGACTATACATTTACATATGATTTTCTAAAACATATTATCTTATTATTTTACAGTATTAATTTATGTCAAATTTTGAATCTACCCAAATTAGAAACGATAAAATTTATTAATTTAAAGAAATTATTAATTTATTATATATTAGTTTATATATAGAGATTCTACTATATCTACAAAAACGTAAAGAATGAAAGAATATTTCCTATTGATGATGAGTATGTGAACTTTATGCCTGAATGGACAATGAAAGTATACATACAGTAGAACCTCTATAAACTAGTACTCGATAAATTAATAATCTCTATAAATTAATAAATTTTGTCGGTCCCAACTTGGGCCGGTTCAAAATTTGACATAAATCGATAAAATAATAAGACAATAATTTTTCAGAAAATTCTATGTAAATATATGGTCCCATTAAAATTATAAATTAATAATTATATGTATACATATTTTATATAAGTAAGAACATATCATTATATTGTTTGTTTTATATTTCTTAACACTTATTATATTTTTGATGAGATTTAATAATTTTATGTCTAATACCATATTTAGATTATGTGCAATATATATTATATACAAAAAATAATATAATAAATTTGATATAAATGTCAATTTAAAAAATAATAATAATAATTAATGTTTATACAGTAAAATCAAATATTTTTCTTATTTTAGAAAAAAAATATGTTAAAATAAAAAAAACTAAATAAAGAAACTTTTGTAAATTAATATCTCTATAAATTAATAAAATTTCAAAGTCCTAGCATTATTAATTTATAGAGGTTTTATAGTATCTTTTAAATAATGTCAATTTTTGACGGAATGTGAGAATAATATTTAAAAGAGAAATTATGCCATATAACTACACAAAAAAAACACAATTCACTAACTAATTTCAAAGTCATCCCTTCTCTTTTTCTCTCTTCGTATCTCTCTCAAAACTAGTTTTCGTTTATTTCTTAGTTTTTTTTTTTTTCTGTAACACCGTTTATTTCTTAGTTATTACACAAATAAATCCTATTTAGGACTGTTTTTCCTATAGCTTCGCCTTCCTTCCTTTTATATTTGATAGAAACAATGGCATTTATGGTTATTAAGTAGGAATAATAGGCATATCAATGCTATTGACCAAGACTTTGACCAAGATTCTGACTCGACTCTTCATGGGTTCTATTTGTCTTTGATATGGGTCTCTGATCTTTAAAAGACATAAAAACTCTAATTTTGGATAATTAAGTCGGACTAGCGGTTTAGATCAAGGGTGGAACCGGTTCCAACAATCGTAGTGGCGGCTTTAGACCTAAGAGCTCAAATTACTGGTAATAAAAATGGATACAACACTGTGATATGCCTTCATAACCATATATATTATGTTCTGCATTTAGTGTTCAAAACATTACATATCTTCCGACCAAGTTATTCTTTACACGGTGCTTTTGCTATCTCCTTTTTCGTGTCAACTTAATGTAGAACCATCTTGAGTTTCAGTTTATCTAGCATGCCATGAACCTTAAGACATTGCCTTTTGTGACAAATCTTTGTCCAATTGGTATGTTCTTGGATGTTCTTGTATTGTTTTGCTTTATCTTGAAGATATAGCTTTCGGTAATCAATAAGTTTAGTATTAGGAGATACTATAAGTTATGCGTTTAGATTTATGGGCTTGTACAGAAATATATATATATATATCTAGCTAGATATGTTAATGGGTATGTACAGAAGCCCATAACTTATATTTCCTAATATATATATCTTTGTCAAGTAGTCCTAACTACTACGGATACGTTAACACATATATATATGTAGATGAACCCTAAATCTAAACATTACTGTTGTTATCATTGCAGAAGTAACCGTGGATGGTTTAAAGATTTTCCATCATGCCGAGCTGGAGAAGTGACTCTGCCATTAAGCTAATTACATACTCCGAGGAGCTTGTGGATGGAAAACCACTCTACGCCTTTTCCAATTCTCGTCCCGTGAAGGCTTTGAACCGTGAACCTGCTGGTCACGCCTTTCATTCTGCTGCTCTCAAACTTCTTGGATGTGCAGCGAAGCCTCGTTATGCTAAAGGTAGCGATAAGAAAGTCGGTGATGACGATGATAAAGACGAGGAGTATGTTAATCCTTCATTCAACCCCTTTGCCAACAAATCAAAGAAGAAGAAAAAGATGAGGCCTGCTGTTACACAGCAACAACAAGAAGACCACTACGCGTTGTTGGGATTGAAAAGTTTGAGGTATCTGGCAACAGAAGATCAGATAAAGAAAGGCTACCGCGAAGCTGCGTTGAAGCACCACCCTGATAAACTCGTTAAACTCGTTCTGGCAGAGGAGACGGAAGAAGCGAAGGAGGCCAAGAAAGATGAGATAGAGTCTCGCTTCAGAGCGATTCAAGAAGCTTACGAGGTGCTGATGGATCCAACCAAGAGGAAAATCTTTGACTCCACTGATGAGTTTAATGACGTGGAGGAGGATCTCTCTCCGCGAGAGTTTTTCAAGGTGTTTGGTTCAGCCTTTAAGAGAACTGCTAGGTTCTCGGCTGCGAGCTGTCAGCGTGTGCCGGATTTAGGAGATGAGAATACGAATCCTAAAGACGTTGATATATTCTACAGCTTCTGGTTCGGTTTCAAGAGTTTGAGAAAGTTTACCGACCAAGAAAGGCATGATCCGGAGAAGGCAAGTTCGCGCCAGGAGCGGAGGTGGATGGAAAGAGAGAATGCCAAAAACAAAGAAAAGGCTAAAAAGGAGGAAAATGTTCGAATCCAGACTCTAGTGGAGAATGCATATAGAATGGACCCGAGGATCGCGAAAAGAAAAGAGGATAAGGAGCGGAAGAAGGAAGCCAAGCGTATGGCTGAGGAGAAGCGGGAAGAGGAAGCTGCCGAGAAAGAGAAGAGAAGGAAAGAAGAAGCCGCGAAAGCTAAGGAGAAAGAGAGGAACCTCTTACGCAAAGAGCGTAACCGTTTTAGAACTCTCTCAGCTCATGTTCTTGCTCAGCGTCTCGTCTCCAAGGAAGATGTAGAGAATCTATGCATGTCACTTAACTTCGAGCAGCTGCAGAATCTGAACGATACATTGGGAAATAAACAAGGGGTAGAGTTGGCAAATGTGATCAAAGAACACGAAGCCAACTCATCTAAAGAGAAAGAAAGTGAGAAAGCGGAGCCAACTAAATTAGATAACACTCAGGAGAAGAAAGAAAATGAGAAAGCGGAGCCAACTAAATTAGATAACACTGAGAAGAAGAAGCAAGAACAATGGAGCAAAGAAGAGATTGATAAGCTGAAAAAAGGAATTGTAAAATATCCAAAGGGGACATCTCGGAGATGGGAGGTTATATCAGATTACATAGGTACAGGGAGATCTGTGGAGGAGATTCTTAAAGCAACTAAGAGTGTTATTCTCCAAAAGCCAGATTCTGCCAAGGCGTTTGATTCATTCCTGGAGAAAAGGAAACCAACTGGTCCAATAGCGTCACCTCTCTCCACGAGAGAGGAGCTCGGAGAATCTCTACCAATGGCAAACAATGGTGAAGCAAGTGGGAGTTCGGATACAGATGGTTGGTCGAGTGTGGAAGAAAGAGCTTTGGTTCAAGCTTTGAAGACGTTTCCTAAAGAGACAAGCCAAAGATGGGAGAGAGTAGCTGCTGCTATTCCTGGGAAAACGGTGGTTCAGTGTAAGAAGAAGTTTACAGAGCTTAAGGAATTCATCAGAAGCAAGAAAAGTGGAGTAGTTTAGAGTAAAATCTTGTCGTAGCTCCATGAGAGTAAAATCTTGTCGTAGCTCCCGAGTTACCAAGATCAATGTTTCTTTTTTTTTTGAACTACGCCAAAATCAATGTTGTAATAAGAAGAATCATCTACGCTTGCCAACTTGTGTATGCTCTTATCATACACGATACATGCATAGCAAAGTGAGATATAATATCAACATAGAAAGAAGTCGAGTCTTCTCTAGGGAATTAGGGTTCTCTATTTTCTCTCTCAAAGAGCCTAAGATTGCTTAAACTATTTTTTGGTTCTGATTCAGTTGACTTGGTTGTAAGTTGTAATCAAACCATAACCGGAATCTTTCGGTTTCGTACTAAAACTGTTTAAAATATTATCTGATTTAGTTTCTTTATATCATCTCCAAAGATGAACACTTCCTAATCCTTATTGACATTTCTACCTCCTTTCCTCTTCCTCCTTCCAACACCTCGCAACACTGTCTCCTTGGTGCCTATCAACAAAGAAAAGATATAACTATAAAGCTTCAAAACCTAATCTCACATAAAATCCAATAAAAAAAAACACTAACCTTGTTCCAATACTCAGGATCCATCTTCATTGAAGTCACCAATATCCTCTTCACTTTGGTAACTCGGGAATACTCACTCTTTCCGCACTGACCATAATTTTTATCCGCTACGCTATACCAAGTTTTCGTCCCACTATCCCGTACATCCTCTGCTCCATCCATGAAGTAAGTGATGGGACGCTCACAAGGGTCAGGCTTCAAGGGCCGCGTGTTAAACGTGAAAGGCCCATCGCTAAAAGACCGCCACGTTTTGAAGGTCTGCAACGGCGTCTCTAGATCCTTAGCGGTTATGAAGTAAGTGTAGATCTGAATGGAGTATCCCCAAGAGATGGATATAGACCATGTACGCTTGTGGTCATGGCAGTTAATCTGTTGGAGTATCCGATGAGGGTCTAAGATGTAAGGTTTCATAAGGGTTTGTAACGACTCAATGGGGGTTTTGTTAGGGAACAATGGGTCTAAGTAATCGAGGTGATGCAGCGATACAAGCGGTGACAGTGGATGTGCAGATAGAAACCCGTATGGATCTCGTCTTATGTCAAGCTGCAAAATTATTTGTTTTCATGACAAGACAGCAAAGAATGTTGTTAGTCCAAAACACGAACCCCTATTTAAAATATCAGATTCTGAATACTTCAAACAGATATAAATACGAAATATCTAATCCTAAATATCCAGATACACAATCTTAAACACCAAAAAACTGTAGATATTATGATATGGAAAAAAATAATAGACCGGACAAATCAACAGGATGATACTGAATTTCTCTCTTCCACCATATATCTAAGAACACCCACAAATCCACAATGGTAGAATTTACCAAACAGGTTTCTAATAGCATATTATTAGTATTTTCTTATGATCTTAGTTAATTTTTAGTGTTTAGTTAACGTTGAATCACTTGTAAACAAATGTGTTGAAGATGTCTTTAATGAATATTTCAAAAAAACTTATTTAAACTAAGAAGCTCTTCTTCCTTCCTTTTTCTATTTTTTTAGTTTTTTATACTGTCTAGCGTTGGTAGTTCTTAAAAAATGGAACTTCCCTTTAGACACAACACAATACATGTGGTAGTGATAACTGATAATGGCACACACATAGATACATTCTTAAAGACTAAACATAAATATAGTTAGAAACAGAGAGATACTAGTAACAAAAGTAAGCAAGCTTTTAGCGGAAACATTAGATTATAAGCAAATTACAGAGATCAGTATGTTTATTTAAAAGTTTGTATCCTAACATGATAGAATCATGTGCTCCAGCAATGAATTTAAATCCCCAATAAATAAGAAATATATTTTGCCAACATTCATGGACCCAAAGCAACTAGGACCATTCATAGAACAAATTAATAAAAATGGTTGGAGAGTATTCATCTAACCACACAAAGCAACTTCGATTTGATTAATTTAAATTATATGCAAATTAGATTACCGAGGAAGCAATACTAATGTGTCTGTCTATCCGTAACTGACTGAGTGACACTGATTTTAGTCAACATCTGTCTGACTTATTCAATAAATTAATTCCTAATAAACGCTTTTTTAGCACTTACCTAACTGATTACTGCGTTTGACATATAAGCTCATAAATCCACGTGTCAATATATAATCCAAAACTTTTTGAATTTGTCTAGTCCAACCAATGAGAAACATACCTGATGAAACCCGCGTTCTTCGGTGAACGGAACGCCAATCTCGCTAACGCAAGCCGCGATCCTCTGATCCGAACCGTAGAAATAAAAATACCGTTCTAGACAACCGTCCATCGCCTTCGCCAAACGCGCCGCGAGCGGGCGGCTAACCGCGAATCCTCCCCCGCCAAACGCCATATTGTAATCGTGCATCACGTCCTGCTCAACGCTCTCCGAGTTCCCCCCGACGTACCACATCTCCTCGTGGTCGTACTTGGAGAGAACCTTGACGAGGTTATCCGTGAAGAACACGGTATCGTCGTCCCCCATCACGAACCACCTCACGTCGGGCAGATTCAGCCGGTAGCTATCCCATACGACGCGTGCGATGCGAACCGCGGGCTGTGAGCTGGAGAATCTGAACCGAGTCCAGGTCGTATCGGAAACTCGAACCGGGATTGAGAACCGGTTATCATCGGAGTTGTTTTTAGGGGTGTTAACCGGTTTATCGAGCCAGACGAATCCACGGGTTGAGTTTCGCCACCACAGGGAGGTGTAACGGCTCCGTTCGAGCCATGTCTCGGCTGCTCCGGCGATGCAGAACTGGATGTGAGAGATGTTGATCGGTCCGGTGGATCTCGTCGGAGGGATGGCTAAGGCTTTTTGAGATACGGTTGGGAAACGGAGACGGTAGGAGGAGGAGTAGTAAGGTGCGGAGGTGGGAGAGAAAGTGGCGCGGAGAACGAGAGAGACGGAGACGATGAGGCACGTGAGGATGGATAAGCGAGTGAAGAGCACGAGGTAGTCACGTGGCCGCTCAGGCGTGAAGGTTAAGCTAGAAAGCTTTAGAGCCTCGTGGTTGTAGCCGTGCTCTCCACCGCCTCGATTCAGTTTCATCACACCGGAGATCACTTTATTTTCACAACGGTGGCTGAGATTTACACTGAAACAGTGGCTGAGATTATTTATTTTACGGCTGGGAACGAAATTTTTATTGAAATTTACGGATGTAACCCCAACGGTGGCTGAGATTATTTATTTTTAGCAGTTTTTTTTTTGTTTCCCCTTTGCTGGAGTGATAATTAACTCAAAGATAATATATAATGGGAGAAGACGATAGACGATAGAGACCGTGTATGAAACACTCAAATGACGGAGATAACCTTAGTCAACGATGAGAAGACTTTCAAATATATATGGCAATATATTTTTATATCAGGTTTGAAACTATAATATAACAACGAAAACAAATGGGTATTATGTTAAACCTAACGTGTTTATTATTATGGGAATTATAACTGTGTTTTGTGTTTTTTTTTTTTTTGTGAAAAAAATGTAAAATGTGTGTTTGAGCTCTTTTTTTGTTCAGCATATGTGTTTGAGCTTAGAGATGAGGAAACATATGAATTAATTACTAAGAGTAAATAAAGGAAAAGAATACCAAATAAGAGAAAAAGTAGGACTTGTTATATATAGAAGTATATAAATAGAAAGGACTATGTGTGGACTTCTTTTACAGGCATGGTAACACGTATTCGTGGAGCTCACTTATATAGTGATAAACTACGGTATAAGTATAACTCAACTAACAATTTGTTCTTCCCTTTTACACATTATAAGATATGCTTTGATGCAGGAAGCATCCCAATATTGGTGACTTTGAAAAATGAGTTCATAAAGAGAAAAACTCGTCTTGTCCTTCTTAGGTAACAAACTATAAAGATAGGAATTAATTGCAATGAATAATGATGCTCCACTAGGATGAATTTTAGTTTGTGGTTCTTAACAGAGACCAGCCAAAAACAAGATATAAAGTGGTTTGAAAATCTTCTCCAAAATATACTTCTAGATACAGAGGAAAGAAAAGAGAACCGAATCACACTTAAAATTCAAAGTACAGAAAAACACACAAATCGGCTAGTTTATTGGACTAGAAAAAGATGGTTTGTCACTGACCCTGGATTTATAAGAATGTATGCAGCAAAATGAAACAGAATAAATGAAATAAAAGACAATAAAATTGTATTAATTTAATAGATAAAATGAAATAGAAAATTCTTAAAATACTTTTAAGTTAGCTATCAATTTTTAAAAATACACTTAATCAAAAATACCATAAGGTAAATTTGGGTTGGTAAACTTCTATAACTGAGTTGCCCAAAATAAAACCCTCTATAACTGTTTTATAAATTATTTCTAAATATTTATAAATAACTTAAGAAATTAAAATTTTATAACAAATATAAGATATTTATAAAATTGTTATTTCTTAAAAGTAAATTTGAAATATTATCAAAATTATGATAAAATTGAAATTTAGAGGAAATCGTTAACAACTATTTTAAACATGCATGTATTAAAGAAGTTTTCTCATATAATCCGAACCAAACCAACAAAATCGGTTGATAACACAAGAAGCCATAGCAGAACAGACTGAAAACGAGAACGAGTTTTTGAAAGACTCGAGACATTCTCTAGGTGGGTCTTGGAGTGGCCCATTCAACCCTGAGGATGAGGTTATCATAACCATAACCATTCAGTTTGTTAATGGCTCGTTGAGCGTCTTCTCTGCTCACGAAATTGACGAAACCAAACCCTCTGCTCACTCCAGTTTTCTGATCAATCGCCACATAGACACGAGTGACAGCTCCAAAAGGATGGAAGAGCTCCATCAAATCTGGTTCACGGGTGTCTTCAGACAAGTTAGTCACACGCACAGAGTTCTCATCGTTCCTCCTCCTCATGTCTGAACCACCAGCGCTTCTGTCCGCACCTGCTCTCATGCTAGGCGGGACATAAGCGGCCTTGCCAGATCCAGGTACAGCGGATACGGCAGATGTTTCTCCTGTAGGTGGCTTGTCGACAAAGACATCGGTTGGTGCAGCTAGATCCTTGTAAGGGCATTTGGATGTCCAGTGATCACCTTTCTTGCCGCATGTCCTGCAAACCATGAGGACTGCACCACCTTTAGTAAGCTGAGATAAGCTGTCTCCTGCTGCCTTTGAATCATCTGCTTTGGTACCTGAAACATTACATAACCATTAGATCCTAGAGCACCAAAGAAAGAAAGTCTAAACCCTTTCAAGAAGAGAAGTCTAAAACATTTCCAGAAACAGGAAGGTAATTAAGATACAAACAAAAAATCTGTGCTAAACAATAGAAAGACAGAGCCAAATCATCATCATAAAACATGGAACATTTTGGGGAATGAAGCAGTATCATACAAGTCACACAAATCACATAAAGAAACCACCTTTTCCAGTATTAGCCACAAAAGTAAAAATCCTATTCGATAGGCTTTACAAGTACAATCATTCACGTACGAAAGAGATTTAAACTACTAACACTAAGAAAAATGTTGGTGACTCTTTAATCAACGTAATCTTCACACCAAGCCAAGTACACAAAATAAACAATACCACAGAACAAATGCTTGAAGATGTGATAAAAACTAAAAGGAAAGCTTCATAACATCACATAAGAAACTAAAGGAAGACTACAACATTTAATATGTACAATAAGCAGCCACAAAAGTGAGAGCACATGTCAGCTCGTACTCGAACCGGACTACAAACAGTGAACTGCTATCGGTGACATACTGACCAATCACACGAACAAGTAGCCGCATGGCTAAAATATGATTGGCTAATTGGTCACCCAAGTCATTCGTATTAGTCTTAGATAATGTAACAAGACTAGTGTTTTAGTTCATGATTCGTAAAACTAAACAAAACTAATCTAATTAAACTAAACTAAAGTTTTATATTCATATATCTTAGATTATGTAATTAGACTAATGTTTTAGTTCATGATTCGTAAAACCAGACAAAACTAATGTAATTAAGAATAATGTTTTAGATTCAAGTATAATCTTAGATTATATAATAATAAAACTAATGTTTTAGTTCATGATTCTTAAAACCAAAAACTAATGTAATAAGACTAATGTTTTTAATTCATGATTCGTAGAACCAGACAAAACTAATGTAATTAAGAATAATGTTTTAGATTCATATAATCTTAGATTATGTAATAATAAGACTAATGTTTTAGCTCATGATTCTTAAACCAAACAAAACTAATGTAATAATAAGACTAATGCTTTAGCTCATGATTCTTAAAATCAAACAGAACTAATGTAATATGCCTAATGTTTTAGTTCATGATTCATATAACCACCAAACAAAACCATTGTAATAAGACTAATGTTAGATTCATATACTCTTTAGATTATGTAATAAAAATCATCATATAGGAGGAAAAAAAAGAATATACCAGGAGCTCTAGGTCGTTCCATAAGAATCTCTTCGGTAGAAACCATGGTGAGACGGCTACCAGCGTCCTCATTCGCCGCGTCTCCGAACTTAGGCCAGCTCCTCCTCTCCATGGCCCGTTTGTTGAGCCTCGCGGAAGCTAGCTTACGGACACGTGACCTGGTCGTGATCTTGACCTTGTTGCCTTCTTCGTTGAACTTGTACTCGATCGTCGTCTTCAAACCGTTCTCGTCTGGGCCAATCACTTGCTTGGGAGGGAGGAGGAAATCCAGATCGTCGTCTTCGTCCATCTCCCCCCATCGGAACTTGCTCGTTTTCTCGGTCGTCATTTTTGTTCGTTTTGGATTCAGATGCGCCGCTTATTGTCCAAATGATCCTTTTAGGGTTTCGTTTCTTATCTGTGCTTCCTGTAACCGATAATGACTGAAACGCTTCGTTTTGATTTTTATAAAATAATTTTTTTCGGAGCGACATCGAGGTCAAGTGTTCGAATAAAACAGAATGGAATTTTGGGCTTTTTCCTTCTAAAAGATGTTTTCTTCTGTATAGTTAATTATGTAATTACAAACTATAAAAAATATTACTTGATAATATTATAGACGATAATTCTATTCGTCTTATGAGAATTTTTGACTGTATTACCATGAATCCTATAAAATTTATTTTGGAGGGTAAAAATTTTTTACGATAATTTTTTTTTGTATTTTTTTCTTTAATTTTCTGTATAATTCAATTTTTTCCAACAACTAAAATCCTAATTTTTTTATATAGACACTACGTAGTTTAGGGTTGAAACTACAGATTTAGATGTAAACTACGTAGTGTAGGATTCAAATTCCGGATTTAGATGTAAAAGTATTTAAACCTTGATCACTATATTATGATGCTTCCACCCTTCTAAAATTTGCTTTCTTTTGCCTTTTCTAAACTCAGCAATGGACCAAATTAAACTTATTTAAACTCTCAGCAACAACGTCCACAAGACACAAGAAAAAAAAACACTTTTTTTTTTCTTTTTTTTCAGAACTGATTCCACAAGCAAGGGCCAATGCCACTCGTATTTCGTCTGTCAAGTATTGTAACACAATAATAAGTCCACTATGCCACAATTCTATCAAAAAGTTAAAGCTTTGTAGAAGAAGCAAAAGAAGATATTGCAAAAACTGAATCACTAACATACTGTAAAGAGAGTAAACATTATGGAACCCATCAACTACAACGGAATTGGTGATGATCTAACATCATTACAAGGAACCTAAAGAACACAACACCTATATTCTGACTGTCATTTCAACTTTGTGGGCGCATCTGCCATCAGAGAAATGGCCTTACATTTACTAGCTGACTAGAAGATAAGAATCGCTGCGATTGTTGTTTGCACACACATTACTTGAAAAGTTTGAAAACGTGATATCCACGCTTGGCTTTGCTTCAAGAATGAAGGCTTCTTGTTGACTTAAAGTTCACTGTAATTACGCCAAACAGCCCTGAATTCTTCACGGAATGTGTTCAAGCGTGCCTTGAGGTTTGGAGTTCTCAGGCTTGCATGAAGAATGATCACTATGGAGATTAGAGAGAGAGAGAGAAAAAAAAACTCAAAATTAGAGGTTTTGAACCGGACCAAAAGACAAGAGAAGGAATCATTAGGAAATGTAATAGCTTACTGAGAAGGGCAGTGGCAAATGCATAAAGGACCCATAACAAACCGCAAGAAGTAAACCACAAGACAAAGCTTGCTACATAAGAAAAATCAGTACTTCGCATCAGTTGCATATCAAGATTCAAGACGTAAGAGAGGATGTAATGACTTGAGAGATATTATGTTAAGTACCGGTTAAGCCAAGCAAGACAAATACCAAACGTGGTTGGCCACAAACGTAAACCTTCTTTCTAGTTGCAGATCTCCCACGAATGACTGGCCTGAAAAGTGTTCACAAGTTATAAATGTGAAGATAACAGTCTGTAATCTTCCATGGAGATCAAATACAAAAGAACTTACATGTGGGGAGGTCTCATCTTTGCAGCTAAATGTGGGGAGAAAAGCCTAATTATCCGGATCATCTTCTCATTAAAAGTAGCTGCAAAGCTGCAAACGACAACTAAGGCATGAACGTTCACTAGATGCCAAGGAACACACATACATATGATTGCATAAACATACAAACCCAGCAAACTAAGGGGTCAACCAAAAACAAAAATAGAAAAAAACAACCAAACCACTGAAAGTAGAGAACCTTGAAACACTTGAATTTCAAGAACCAACAACACAACCTATTGAATATAATACTAAGCACACCCATTTGAAGGGATAATCAGTTAACTATACAGAACCTCTTCCTAAACATTCAAGAGATGCAAACCAAGACAAACAGAAGCAACGAGAATGAAGTTCTAAGCACATCCACTGGAATTGTAAGAACCAATGCCATATCCTGTTAAATCTAGTAATACTAAGCACATCAATATGAGGACTAGTCACTTAAACATAGAAAACCTCCTCCTCCTAAACATTAAATAGATACGAACCAATAAAAACAAAAACAACAAAATGAACTTCAAAGCAGCGATATAAAATAAGAAATTAAGAATACATAAGAGGATCACATAAAGTACACCTGTCGTTTAGGAAAGCTAAGCTTAAGGCTGTTAAAGCAGCACCAAGAATAGCCAGAGGTCTCGTGATAAGTGCAAGACCTGAGCTCAAAACAGATCTTAAAATCAAAAACCAAACTTTATCATTTATAACTTAAAAAAAATCAAGACTTTAACATACCCAGAACGAAAATCAACAGTAAGAAGTAATTCGTCCTATAGCTGCAACATGAACACACAGTTAAAAAAAGAAGATATAATCAAAATCAAAATCAAAATCAATACAAAGAAAGAGAGAGAGAGGGAAAGATACTAACTAGTAGAGATTGCATTTGAGACGACTCATCCATTTAGTGAGAGAGAGAGGGAAGGCGAATCTGGAGAAGAACTCGGGGAAAGAACGAGGACGCGTCGACCATTCAACCTCTCTTAGCGCCTCGATCACATCCGAAGCAGCTACGCTATCCCAATCCATCTCTTACCTCTCTCTGTCTATCTCAGAAGCTTACAAGAAGAAACAATAATCTGCTCCGAAGCCGTAGATGAAAATTAGGGTTTGGTGGATTCCTTTTCCGATTCGCGGATGTTTTTGATTATCAGGTTTTATGTTTGTTTTTTTTTCCCTGTGGATCAAGCAAGAGGAAGAAGGTAAAGTATAATCAGTAGTACTACACACACGTGCGATATAAAAATAGCAGATGATGACGTGTCGGTATATTATTGGAGAAAATGATGAAAACGTGGCGAAAACAAATGTCTGAGGCGGACTTTGAACTTGGGACCTCTTGTGTGTGAGACTAGCGTGATAAACATAGCAGATTGTGACGTGTCGGTATATTATTGGATGAAAATGATGAAAACGTGGCGAAAAAAGTGTCTGAGCCCGGGTTCGAACCGGGGACCTCTAGTGTGTGAGACTAGCGTGATAACCGACTACACCACCCAGACATGTTCTCTCTATCTTTTTAAGATATTTATAAATCCGAACTGAGGCCAGCTATTTAAAAAGACCATATGCAAGGTTGTGGACCAACACTGATAGAAGCCAAAAGCTCATCTTTGCAGTTGCACATCACATACTTGTATGACTCTTCGGATTGTTACTACGAAGCTTTCTTTGCAGATCCCATTCTTACAGTTTGACCTGTTTTTCCAAAACATATATATACCTAGACACTTTGTTGCTGGCGCTAATGACTGAAACACTTCTGGATTTTATTAACACATAATCAAAGATTATTATCGTTTACAATGAAGAAAGGCAACTATGAAGAAGCTGACTATAGGAGTCTTCTGCACTACATACATTCGAAAGTAGTTAACCTCATTGAAAACAGTGCTGTTATTCTGAGTAACTGGAACCATTCGCACACAGAAGACTCCACCAAGTTTGACCCGACTTGATAAAAAAGTCAAAAATTCGCCGTTGCCGGGGATCGAACCCGGGTCACCCGCGTGACAGGCGGGAATACTTACCACTATACTACAACGACCTGGTTGCTGAAGTTTGGAATAGTTAAAATATCTAATAAGGCTAATTTCTCGATACATTGGTTGATCAGTTTGTTATGCGGTCTTTTGGTTTGCATAGTGTTGTATATAAACGTTGAGATTAATCACCAAAGTGTCTGGAAAAACATGAAGTTTGATGAGTTTCTTATCGTTTTTTTTGTTGTCTGGAACATTAGTAGATAATGTAATCTCGAATTCTATGGGCTTCATCTTTCTTTCTTTTTGTGTTCTCAATATAGCCATATAGGTCTCACTCATCTTGTAAACTAGAAGAAAAAAAAGAAGAAGCTCATGAATATGAATTAAGAAACAGATTCTGTACCTGAATCATTTTTAGATATAAGAAGAAAATGGCCATACAACTATAATATATGAATCATTTTAGAATATCGCTCCAAAACCAATATATGCAAATTTACAAAGAGGTATTATAATATCAGTATCTTATAGGTATGATCTACCAAATAACACATGCAACAATAATACATGATATACCTACTCATTCTTTTTATATACAAACCAATGGCCGATGGATGCATAACGACTTCCTTTTTGTATACCGCAATTTATGTAAATACCACAAGTTCATGCTTCACCATAGGGCCAAATTCACGTAGACCTTCATCTTTAACTGAGCAAGATCATCTTCTGGTGGTTGGCAGTTGTTTTTCAGGCTTAAGACCATTGTCACCTTAAAAAAATAAGTCTAAATAAGTAAATAACACCAAAATACAAACGATCTGGCCATCAATAGCATTATATTTTTTTTTTCAAAAAAAAGACCATTGTCTCCTCTATAATTTTCAATTGCATTTTACTGTATGTCAATGTTCCCTAAGTCTGTTCCGAGCACTAAGATGAACACATTTAGTAATACAAAGTGGACTGGATATCATATTGCATGACTCAAATTTGGAATGTTTTCCGAATAATGCTATTGATGGCCAGATTGTTTGTATTTTAGTGTTATTTACTTATTTAGATTTATTTTTCTGTTATTGTTTTTTTGTAATTGTATTGATTGTCAAAAATAATAAATTTAGTATAAAATTTAACATTAAATATTAGAGAATCCAGTAAAACCCAAAGATGTTAAATCCAAGCCAAAACTTTCTTAGCCGAATTAAAAAAAAAAAGTCAAAAAGAATTTGTAACTGCTAAAATAATACCGGTGACTACTACCCCTAGGGAGCCCCAAATAGTAATGGTTTCACCTCCACAAAGCCATACCATGCATGGCACAAACCCAACCCCAAACGTCGAGGCCATTAAAACAATGCATACATCCTTAGTTATCTCAAACTGTAACCCTCTCCTCTTCTTCCTACTCAACTTCATTACATCCCTTGTCTTAACTTCATTATACTTCTCCTCCTCACAATAACGACAGATCAGCAAACTCGGAATCCTAGAATCAAACTCCCATCTCTCTGGCTCCCACTCGTTAAATATCTCTTGTGCTCCTTTAACATCGTCTAGCTTCAACAAAGACCTAATCACACTTCTATACCCTTCATTACTCATGTTTCCCACGTTATCTTTCTTGTACTCATTCCATAGACGGTACACTTCTTTTTTACTCGATGTTATCTCTATAGCCTTTAGCGCTGACCCGGATGTTTCATAAGCCTTTGCTATTGCGTCCATCGTCCTCACTTCAAGTTTGATTTCTTCTTCCCATTCTCTCTTATACTTCTCCAGGCACTCCATGGCTGATACATCTGCGTTAACTCTCAAAACGTTGTTCATAGTGACATTATCCGGCTCTATATTCTTCTCCTTCATCTTCTCAAGTAGCTTCATGACCTTGCTTCGTTTTCTTAGCTCACTGTAGAGAGATATCATGTTGTTGAATGGTGTAGGGTTTAAGAGGAACCCTAGCTCACTCATCTTCTCGAAAATGGCTTCCGCTTTATCCACAGTTTTGGATGATCTTGTGTACGAGGCTAAAAGTGTAGAGTAGACAGAATAGTTCTTCATGTTCTCAGGGATGCGACTTTTAAAAAACTTCTCTGCTTCTTCTAAACCTAATACATTGTCAATAAGATGAAGCCTAGCTGCATAGTCTTCAGGGAAAAGATCATACAACTTTCTTTCACTCACCCATGTTGATGCCTCAAGTGCTTTAGAGTATTGTTTTGAGTCACATAGATCCTTTATGAGACCTCTCATGTAAGAAGGCTTCACTAGGTTCCCTTTCTTGCCCCATTCCTCAAGCAACTGACCAATAGGTCTAACCATTTTTTCATTCCTTATGGTCTTAATCATCAGCTTATCTGCCTTTTTAACCATTCCGTTTTCGCGGTAACCAGAAGCCAACATTGTCGGGATTCGGACATCGAATTCAAGACCAGAGCCATCCCACTCATTGTAGTAAATCTCTTCTGCTCCATTGAGATCATCAAGCTTCAAGAGAGATCCAAACAAAGCCCTAAACCCATCGTTATCTTGCTTTTCTGCCGTCTTGTACAAGTCCCATATACGGTAAACGTCTTCTCTCTCTCCAGCTTCACCATATAGCGTCAAGAGTTCAGGATAGGACTCAGGATCTATCTGTTCCTCCTCTGTTTTAAGAAGCATCTCTCTCGCCTTCTCCTTGAAACCATTTCTTAGATAAGCCTTTGCCATGTCAAGTAACGTGAGGCAATGTAGCTTTATATTCCCTCCCCAAACAGCAAGAAGCTTCTCCATAGCCAACAAGTCAGAGACAGAAGCGTACACTTGCAAAGCTGTGTTCACTGTCAAACTATCAAACTGAACATTGTTCTCCTTCATCTCTTGCATGATCTCATCAACCTTGTCTCTCTTCCGGACAGAGAAGTAGAGAGACATCATCGAATTGTAAGGCAAAGGCTTCAAGAGCAAACCTATCTCTCTCATCTTCTTGAAAGTAGCTTCAGCTTTAAAAATATCTTTCTTCACCGTGTAACTGTTCAACAAAGCGGTGTAGATAGCTTCACCTCTCTGATTCTCCGGGACCATCTCAAAGAACTTCTCAGCTTCTTTCAACCCCAACACGTTCTCTATAAGACAAAACCTAGCTGTGAAGTCTTCAGGGATGAGGTTGCATAGCTTTTGCTCAATCATCCAGTTAGATACCTCTAGGGCTTGACGGAAACGTTGCGAGTCTCTAAGCTCCTCTACAAGTACTCTCACCATCGAAGGGTTTATTTGTTTACCTTTCTGCTGACGTCTCCATTGTTCAAGAACCCTAGTGATTGCTGTTTTGCCTTCTGAAGCGGCTTGGATGCGACTCTGGAGAGTAGTAGTAGTGTTGTGCCTTGGAGAAGACGGTAGGGTTCCGTTTGTGTAGGAGCAGAATAATAGAGTTCTGCTACTGTGAGTGAGGATACTCCGAGCGTGGTGCTGGAGATTATGTGACATCATGTTCAGTGTTTGATGAGGGTACAGACGACAGAGAAGACTACTCTAGCTAGGGTTTTGCTAACTTTTCAGTTTATATATTCTTTCATTTTTGCAAGTTTACTTCTATACCGTGGAAATATTATAGCTTACCAAAAACAAATTAACATGTACCAATAATTTAAAATTTTAATAATTCTAAATTGAAAGTTTCCATATTTAAATGTCTACTTAATATTATTTAGAAAAATACAACTTAATAATGATAATATAGTAAAATTATACTGACATTGATGTGTTGAGTAGGTCATTTTCTTCTAGAGCAATTGCATTCTATAACCATAAAACAAATTGATATTAGCTATCTGACTATCACATTTTCATATTTAGGTAACTACCTATAGAAAATATTGGAAGAGACGAAACTAACCTTAAAAGAAACTCTTCACTTGCCTAGGTTGTTCGAGAGCACAAAGACTATAGCCATGTGGATGTTAGGTGCTATAGTAGAAAGTGTCAGAAGGGTGTTAAGTGTACTAACATATAAGAAGATATTTACTCTATCATATATTATTTATCTCTCGTTCTCTCCCTCTTAATCCTCTCTCTTTCTTCTTTCTATTTTTTTTTTAAATTCTCTCCTCTGATTTTTTTTCTTGATTATTATTCCTGATATTGATGTCGATAATCGTTTATATCCATTCTCTTGAATCTCGGAGTTCTTCACACTCCTCTGGATTGCCGCCTTCACCTCCGTCTTCCTATGACAACAATCGTCCTCGGCGGCTAAGTCGGTCCCGTCGTCGGAGGGAGGTTCACTATTTTCGGCAGGACGAAACCGGTGCTGCAGCCGGTGCTGCCCAGTTTGAGGCATGTGGTGTTCGATTTGAAGGATTTCGGAGGTGTTGGCGATCGGGTTATGAGGCATTTAAGAGAGTGGTGGTGGAGATCTCAAAGCTTTGAGTTGGTGGTAGACAGTTGAATGTTCCGCCGTTTAATCCCACTAGTCATATGACTTTGTTTCATATTGAGGATTGTGAGATTCTTAAAGTTGAGCTTTGTGAAAATGATCTGATTTTGTTGATTGATTTATAATGGTTAGAGACGGTTTAATATTTCTAGATCTGAAAAAAAAATTCCAGATCTTTCTCCCCATTTCTATAACGTTTCTGGGGATCAGGTTACCGGGTTATTGTATTATGTAACCGGATACAAATTAACAGAACCGGATTATTGTACTATTTTACCGGGTTATTATATTATGTAACCGGATACAAATTAACAGAACCGTATTATTGTACTATGTTACCGGGTTATTGTATTATGTAACCGGATTATGTTCTATATAACCAGATGGCAGATTATGTAACCGGTTTTACTTTAATTGTCATCCATTTGACAGGTTTTTATGTTTATTTTCAACAACCGTAATTTACCTTTGATAACTTCAATTTCTAGTATTTTCTTATATGGTGATTTCAGTAAGATATGCATCTCGTCTGCTTCTTAAAACAAAAAGAGTAAAAATATAGATCTGAAACCTGTCAAAACAACTTGCTTGTATAGGTGCTTTTTTGCATTGAATGGAAATATATATTGTAGGTGATTTCAGAGCACGTGCATGAGAGATAATTTATCTCTAGGTGTCAGGTAGGGGTATATTCCGGAATTATGAAAAATCAAATAGTGATCTTCCATATAATTAATTATCTTTTATTCTATGTATATTGAGCTAATTAGCTCTTTCTTCTATCTATTTTGGGTTTGTGCCTCGCAGTGAGAATGCTGCTGCAGATTGTTTAGCAAAAGAGGCTCTGTTTTTATTTTCAAACTCTCCTTGTGAGAATATAAGCTCTATTGTTTGAGTTTAATGAAAGATGAAGTTTGACCAAAAAATAGTAAAATTATACTAGGTGGACGGCCCGCACGCATGTGCGGACATTAATATAATCTATAAATTGGATATAGGAAAACTAATATTAGTGCATAATTATATTGTAACTCTTTTTTCTTTTACTTCGTTTTTTTGCCAAATTTTGAATATCATATAAATATGAAACTGTTTTGTAAACTTTACAAAAATTGAAAACAAGATGAGGTTCACCTCGGCAAAAAGAATAAAATTAAGGTGAAGCCCATATAGACTAAAGAATTTCTAGACATTCCATAGCCATGTTAGCATGAGGGTCTTCAAGTTCTTTTTGTGTTGTTTCCCCAATATTGTGTCCCTGATATTTCGGTCGATAAGCTTGCAAATCGATTGGGGATTTGTAGAGATTCCATCATGTCGTCTCTTATTCCTTTCAGCCCATGTGTGGTAAATGGTTGTGTGAGCAACAAGCCTCTTGAGAATCCTAGGAACAATGGAATCAGTGTGTGATAACCAATCGGTGAAAGTGGTCCAAGACATGAAACGCTAATGGGTATACCCAAGTCTTCTAAGAATTAGTTCTCAGATCAGCACACTTACCTCACAGCAGAGAAGGAGGTGATCTCTAGACTCCGGAGCAAAGTCGCAGAGACAGTAGTTTGAAAAATTTCCGAGTACCCAACTAAGAAGACGAGCGCGAGTGGGCATACTTTTCTATCTTTTACTCCGGTTTTCCTTATATATTGTTCTACCTTATTCATTTCTTTTTATCTTTGTATTTATTTCATAGACATTTGTTGGGTCTCTTTTGTATCTCTATATCACGTTTTTTAATCTATCTTTGTACCTCTCTCGCTCTCATTTCCTTTCTCTCTCTCAGTTGATCAAATAATCTTAAAATTTCTCAAACTGACATTGACTCTTCTCACAATCACTTATATTCAGTCTTTTACCCTTATCCTTACTATAACTCTCTCATCCTTACTATAACCCTCAATATTCCACTTTCAAACTCTCTCTATCTGTTTGAGTGTCCAGTGACGCTTCAAACCTGGACCCTCTCGAAGATCCCAACTCACCCGGAAAATTTTTCTAAGGCGTCAATTTTTACCAATATGGAATATTTATTTTGGAGACTTCCAAAGAAACTGGACTCCACATCTTTTCCATGGATAATATGGTACATAGGGAAAAATCGGAATGATAAGATTTACAGAAGTAAATTAAAGAGTGCTCAGGAAGTTCTTGAAATGGCAGAAAATTGAAGGAACGTTATGGGCTGAAGCACAACTGAAGATTGTTACTTAAGAGAGAGAGATTGACATTTTGAATAGGGATTTTGATCTCAGCGACATTCAGTGGTGTTTCATCGATGGGTCCTAGAAAGATGAGTCAATTTATACAGGACAAGGATGGTATTACAGGAAAGACAGAGCAACATGATCAATGATGGGAGCCATGAATATTCGAAGAAGCCTATCACCTTTACATGCTGAATGTGAAACACTGATATGGGCAATGGAGTGCATGAAGACCCTACAGATCTTAGACGATGTGGTGTTTGCAACAGACTGTTCTCAACTGGTGAGGATATTGTCTACACCTACAAAATGGCCGGCTTTCACTACGCACATGGAAGAGTTCCTATGATGTAAGCATTTCTTTCCAACTTTCACAATTCGGCATATTCTAAGGGCAAAGAAAATTTTGGCGGACAAGCTAGCACGTGGTGTTAGAGGTTTGTCATCAGCTATGGTTTACGTCGACTCAGTTCCACCGCCTTAGCTATCAGGCTTGGATTCTTCTTAGTTTAGAATGGCCGTTTGTTGAAAAAAAAAAACTCTCTCTATCTCTCTTTGATTGCAAAGTTCTTGGATTCTTCTTAGTTTAGAATGGCCGTTTGTTGAAAAAAAAAACTCTCTCTATCTCTCTTTGATTGCAAAGTTCTCACCGGATTTTGTTAAATCTTCAAAACATTCTCACATAGTATTAATAAATGATTTCAGGATCAATCTCACATACATTCATTCTCTTACTTATTCTCTCATCTTCATCTTGATCATAACCCTCACTTTCATCCTCACCATCACCATCTCTCCCTCTCCCTCTCTCTCTCGCACATATTTTTTATTTAGCGTTTAACATAAAACTCAGAATCGATTAGCCAAAGAAATTCATCGTTAAGTTCTCTCCGATCTTCACACAATCTTATGAAACATTAATACATTTGACAAAGATTTTCATTAAAAATAAACATTTTTAAAAAATATTATATTCATTTTTTATACATATCGATTTTATTTTAAGTGAATATAATTAACTGTATTTCGACCAAAAAACTGAAACTAATAATATACCATTAAAATATCTGAATTTTAAATGATGCGATGTCATTATGTTACACATAGATACTTAATATAATCGTGAGATTCAACAATTTTAATATTCAAAATAAAATGTTAGACACAAATAAAATGTTTCTATTTGTATAAATTTTGTTATCATACAGTTTAAGAGTTTATTATACCGTAGAAATATTTATCATTATCTTAAAATACTTTTATTGTACATTTAATTTACGTTATATTTTAATTAGTTTCAGTTTGAAAGGCTATCTTGCATATGTTGGTATGAAACTTATGTTAGGAATAAAAATCTGTTTTTCCCATACAACTTCTGGTTAGAATTTCTACTTGAGTAATCATGTTGTGTAGGTCAAATTATTAGTAATATTGTCTATTGCAAACTCTTTCTCTTTGATTTAATTCTTTAGTAGCATGACCTACAACATTCCATTTCAAAGTCATTCTTTTTTTATTTTAATTATGTAGTATCATGATCTACAATAGCATAATCAATTTTATATGCCGGTAAGAACAAACACACATAAGCATAATCACACATAATCATAATAATCACATTACCATTAAACTTATATAAAAAAACATGTATAAACGCTTAAGTATAATTGTGGCAATAACTAATATATGATAATAATATATTTAAAAAAAAAAAAATATCAACATCACTGTGAAAATTAGGATGTCACATGATATTTCCTCTACATGTAATATCCAAAAAAGTAGATCACGTGAAGATGTGAATGAATATGCAAAAAACTCATTTACTATTATTCTTGTGTCTCTTATTATATTTGCTACCAAAAGATGAGAAGTGAAAAAACATGAGAGAACTTAAACACACACACACACACACACACACATATATATATATGAATAATTGTAACTCTTTTTGGTCTATAATTTATTAAAAGAATATCAACTATTTTAATTGGAAAGTGGATTATTCATAAAAATATTAGAATTAACTATTCCAAAAACATTTTTATTAAGATTTTAAGAATGTAAAACTACATAAACACTCTTTTACAATTTTTTTATGTTTTTAATGTTAGAAAAGGAAAATTACTATCAAATATTTTCTTTTCTGACAGTTACATTTTCATTAGAAATCTAGAAGACAATAGTTGGTAATGTGATTATTTGCAATTGTATTTTGTTTGCAATTATTTTTTCATATTTTCTTTTTTTGAAAATTATTTGCAGTTATATATTTTTTAAAAGATTTTAGAAGTGAAAAATTACTATTAAATAATATGTATAATTAATTTTTAAAAAATATCAGTTTTAGTATTTTAGTATATTTACTGTTAATTATGATATAGTTTAACACGTATCACAATTATAAATATATAACTTTCATATGTCATAGACTCACAATCATGTTAATTAGCAACTTTAAAGAATCAGCCTCAGTATAATCTTTTGCAAATGATTTTTCAAAATCTTTTACAACTTTTTTTTCAAATTTTGTTTTTGTTTAGGATTTTTGAAAAATTTCTAAATAAATACTATAAAATAAATTTTAAAGTTACTTTTTACTAATAAATAAATTTTAAATTTACTTTTTGAAAATCCATTTTTATTATCTTATTATATATATATATATATATTTAATCATTATATATTTTAACACATGTCACAATATTAAAAGGAAAATTACTATCAAATAATCATTTACAATTATATTTTGTTTAGGGTTTTAAAAATGGAAAATTACTATTAAATAATAATTATAATTATTTTATTTTAAAGAAAATTGTTTTTGTTATTATCTTATTATATATATTTTTAATTATGAGATAGATCACACATGTCACAATCTTAAACACATAATTGTCATGTGTCGCGATCATGTTAATTAGTAATTTTGAAGAACCAAGCTTTATATAATAAGATATGTATTTAAGGTGGTTAATTGTTTTTGGGTAATATATATTAGATTATGTAATTCTATGATTAGTTTCCTTTTAAATTTTAATACCAACAATCCATCAAATTAAGAGAATTAATTCTACATTGTATCTATGAATGACACCTAAGCAATATTTATTAAAGTGACTTTTTAATTAATATATAGGAGGATTATTAAAAAATTGAGGTGAAATATAACAATTGCAATGGTATAGACAGTCTTTTTTTTTGTACATGATAAAGAGAGGGAATTATAATCGGTTTCTCTTATAATCAGTCTTTTTCTTCATTCAGTAAGAACAGTCTTTCGTCTTTGTTTATCAGAATCGATACCTAAAACGTATCATTACACTGTTTCAAAACACATTAACAAAAAACCCAATATCAAGCCCAGAAGAGACAAAGAGAGAGGGGATGTGGTTGTAAACAACCATGTGATGGATGTAACCATCGTTGGATAGATAAGAACCGCCAACGCCATATCTTTCATGAACAACTTAATAACCTTCTCATTCAGCTTCAGCCTAATCGAATTCAACAGTTGCCTCACCTTCATTTCATCACCTTCGTCCTCGCAATAACGTGAGATTAGCAAACCAGGTATCCTAGCATCGAACTCTGCTCCTCCTTTAGATTGTTCCCACTCTTCATACATTTCTTGTGCGCCTTGTACATCACCAAGCTTCAACAAAGACCTAATCACACGTAGATACTCTTCATTACCCATCTCTCCTATCTTTTTCCTTAGACGGTACACTTCTTGTGTACTCGTTGTCATCTCTATCGCCTTTAGTATTGATCCTGCTTTCTCGTAAGCCGTAGCCATTGCATCCATCGTTTCCACTTCAAGCTTGAGTTTATCAGCCCATTGGCTCTTATGCTTGTCCATCAAGTCTACGTCTGATACATACGCGTTAACTCTCAAAACGTTGTTCATCGTGACACTATCCAACTCTATGTTCTTCTCCTCCATCTTCCTTAAAAGATTCTCTATCTCTATTCGTTTCCCTAGCACACTGTAAAGAGATATCATTGACTTAAATGGGGAAAGCTTAGTGAGGAAACCTAACTCTCCCATCTTCTCAAAGATAGCCTCCGCTTCATTAACGTTTTGGTTATAACATCTCGTGTATGTGTTCAAGAGTGTAGAGTAGACAGTGTAGCCTTTCATCTTCTCAGGGATGCTTCTCTCGAAAAACTTATTAGCTTCTTTCAAACCCAACACTTTCTCAGTTAGGTCAAGCCTATCAGCATAATCTTCTGGAAAAAGATTAATCACCTTTTGATCACAAAGCCATGAAGATGCCTCAAGTGCTTTAGAGAATTGATTTGAATCTTGAAGGTTCTTGATGAGGATTCTCAACTCTGAAGGCTTCCCCCACTCTTGCAGCAAAGGAGTGATTGCTTTATCAGCAAGTCTTTTGTTCCTTAAAGTCTTGTTCATCAAGTTATCTGCCTGTTTCACCATACCCTCTTTGCGGAAACCAGACACCAACATAGTTGGGATTCGGACGTCAAACTCAACACCAGAACACTCGTACTCTCTGTAGTACATCTCTCCTGCTCCGTTGATATCATCAAGATTCAAGAGAGATCCAATCAAAGCTAGGAACCCATCATTGTCCTGCTTTCTTGTCTTCTTGTACAGATTCCATACACGGTAAACATCTTCACTACTCTTTCCTGCTTCCCCGTATAGCCTCATGATCTCCTCATACGAAGAGGATTCCTTTAGATCCTCTGCTCTAAGAAGCATCTCTCTCGCTTCTCTCTTATTACCAACTCTCAGATAAGCCTTTGCCATGTCAAGATATGTACGCAACTGAAGCACTGCGACCTCTTCCCAATCCTCCAGAAGCTTTTCCATCGACGCCACATCAGATTCAGCAGCGTACACTCGCAAAACGTTGTTCACGGTGAGGCTATCAAGCTTAACGTTGTTATCCTTCATCTCTTGTAGAATTTCGTCCACCTTACCTGTAGACGCGGGAAAACCGAATACGATAACCATGGACTCGGGATATGATATCTCTTTTCTTTTAACTTTTTATATTCCTTAAATACTAAACCCTAAACCGTAAAGTTTAATAGCTTTTATTGTTCCAACATTACCTCAGTATCCTAAACCCTAAACTGTAAAGTTTAATAGCTTTTATTGTTCCAACATTACGTCGGTATCCTAAACCCTAAACCGTAAAGTTTAATAGCTTTTATTGTTCCAACATTACCTCGGTTTCCAGTGGAGCTGTAGAGAGAGGTCATGGAGCTATAAGGTGAAGGTTTCAAGAGAAAACCTAGCTCTCTCATCTTCTTGAAAGCAGCTTCTGCTCTATCAATACTTCTCTTACCAGACTTTTCGTAGCTCTTTAGTAGAGCTGTGTACATAGACTCACCTCTCAGATTCTCAGGGACCCTCTCCAAGAACTTCTCTGCTTCTTCTAAACCTAAGACACTCTCAACCAGATCAAAACGTGCTTTGTAATCTTCCGGTACGAGACTGCATATCTTTCTTTCAGCCATCCACTGTGACACCTCTAGGGCTTGTGGAAATCTATTGGAGTCACGCAGCTTCTCGAAGATTCCTCTCACCTGAGAAGGATTCAACTTGTTTCCTTGTTGTCTCCATTGCTCAAGCACCGTACTGATCTTTGCCTTGTGATTTAAAGCCGTCTCGATCTGACTCTGCAAGGTTTGATTCGAGGCCCATATGGTTCGGTTTGTGTTGGAGCAAGAGCAGAAGAGACGAGCCTTGCTGCTGTGAGAGAGAATACGCCTTGCATGTTGATGAAGACTAATCATGCTTCAAGTTCAATGTATGAGAGAGAGCGCTTAGGGTTTTGTGTTAGTTTTTTTTTCAGTTTGATTTATTTATATAGCTAACAACCGTGATATTTAACTTAGCAGTGATAAACACGTATGTTTCACAAGTCATGACCCACTAGATTGGTGTTGGGTAAATAAAGTCTAAGTGTTGAACTAGTTATTTTGCCCGCACTTGCGGTCTTAATTATCTTTAAGTCAATTTAAAAAATCATTAAAATAAATGATTATTTTCATCCAAAAAATTCGATCTAAAACATTAAACTTTTTTACATGATAAAATTATTCACAACTTAAAAAAAATCTATTTTTTCCTTTAAAACTTTGAAAAAAATCTAAAATCTATTTCATATCTTCTTAATTGATAGAAAAATATAGAAACCTATCTTTCAATTTAATAAATTGAATGGATAAATTTACATTCAAAAATTGATCTTACAGAAAGAATAATATTAGTTTGGATAATAATACAATATATTTGAATTTAATTTTGGGGTTTTTGCAAAACCAACCTAAAATTTCAAGTCAAACACAAAACCAACCTCTTTTTTTTGTCCATTACTATTCACTCTTAAAAAACCTAAACTCTCCTCATGTTTCCACTTATTTACCAAATTGCCATTATTTTTAAATCTGATTTTATTTTCGAAAATTATTAAAAACCTATTACACCCTAAACATTTCTCCTTTTACCATAATGCCATTGTCATCAATATTTGCAACCACCCAAAACCACCATTGATGAGCTCTTTAAGCTTGTGTTTATGAAATTTCAACCACTTATTTCACTTTCTAAACAAACAATACTTCATTTCCTCTCATTTCCTCTCTATTTTCATCTAAACAATCCTCATAACTCTCATTTTCATAAACATAAACTTCACAATTTTGATTTTATCCACAAGTGGATCGTAAAGGTTGCTTCTTTTGCTCATATTTGGATTCTGGACGGTGGAAAAGCTTGGAAACAAGCTTTAAACCGGTGTCAAGGTAACTCTTTACATGCTTTTCGTCATATCTCTGATCTGTATCGCGAAAGTAGACTGTATTATATGTCTACACATACGTGTAGACATACGATGCAGTCTACTTGTCAACGCACATGTTACTTTTGCAATTGACCAAAATAATTTTTTTTGTAATGTAGACCTACAAGTACGTCAACATCTTTACCTTTGAAACCAAAAACAAAAAAATTGGTAGACTTACTAAGAAATCTACATAAAACAGGTTAGATTTGCATTTGACCAAAATTTTGACTTACCATAGTAGAC